ATAAACTCTAAAACTTACTTGTGAAACGCGTATGTGTAACTCGAAGTGATTTCTAGTAGCTTGTGGAACAAACCTATTATCTAAATCAAAAAAGAAAACTGTCAAAAAAATTACTTTTATTTATAAAAGAAAATCTAAAAATATAATTAAAAAAGAAAAACACATTACATACATTTTTTTTTATTTTAGATTTAACCCTATAGTACTAACCACATATGTTAGTTGTTGTTGTTGTTGTTGTTGTTGTAATAACATACAAATTCCCCACAGAGGTTTTGGAGAGTGTTGCTGGATATACATCTGGGTCGTTCGACGAAGTCTAGTTAAAACCTTTTTTTTTAAATAAAAGAAAACTAGCGGCTCTATTCTGTATCAGTGACAAATTTTTGTTTTCTCGGAATATATATACAAATTTTAATTTGTCAGTAAAGAATTGTTTATCACCGATACAGAAATGGACTATAAATGCCATATATATTATTACACTTATAAATTTCATTTCGAACTTATTGATAAAATAACTTTAAGGTCCATAAAACTCAAAAATTATTTTTACTCAATTAGAATAAAAACTTTGCTTACATTGTGAAAAATTTTATGTCCAAAAACATACTTATATCCGGCACTGTACACATTTATATATATATACATATGTGAAAAGTTAAAAAAAAATCTTTCAATCGTGGTTTAAAATTTGCAAGTCATGTATTTTTGGATTTTATAGAAAAATCTAATCGTAATTTTTTCCAGTAAGTTTAAGTTATGCTTACAACTTAAAAAAAAATATCTAGAGAAACCCCGTGGGCGCCGGGGTCCGCCCCTCGAAAAGAGCATATAAGCTAAATACGGCACTGGTTCCACGGATACACTGCGCGAACATGCAACTTTCTGGGGAGTCAAATCCGGTTTTTTAATATTTCCAACTCTACAAAATACCACGTTTCAGCTTATAAATATCTTAATGCTTCCAAGCCATTGCGTCTTCATAATTTTAGTTTATATTGAAGGTGCCACAGCACTCTTTCAACTAGCTCACACTTCCCTCTGTCAGTGCGAAGATAAATAGCTTAGATAAATCTCCACAAACAATTTCAGTACCCTACCATAAAGGTCTGACATAAATGAGCCAGAGCCTATCCGCCTGGCGGTACATGGACAGATCTTGTAAACTTGTGATCGCCTGGAAAGGAATTGGTACATCCGTTACTAATGATGCATTTAACAGAACTCGCTCCTTGGTCAGCTCGTCAGCTCTCTCTCGTTACCCTCCACACCTTTGTGTTGTGCAAACTAATATAGCTGGACGTTTTTATCCGCTGCTAGCCTACTTATAACTTCCTTACAATTCGCGGCGTTCATTGAATTTGTTTTATGTGAAAGGAAAGCCTTAATGACTATATATGTCAATATACGGATAAAAACTAAAAACAAAATTCACATAGAGTTTGGTGAGCGAAATATCATCTAAGGAATGCCTTTCTTGAATATTTTTCTTTCTACATTGCAAAAACCCGTATTTAGATCAATGAATTTTAATGCTCTTTAAAGCTTATATTCGAACCAATAGCAAGTCAAAAGCTGAACAATTTTTCTTTGGGTATTCTTGTGCTACCTGCTTCACTCCCAAAATATTTTTCGAAATCATTATTGGGATTTAAATTACATGCTTTTTGACACGACTCTGTGTGGTGACTAGGGATGTTAATTTTTTCGCTCTTTACGATCCCGGGATTTAGACATTCGTAACTTTTCAACAACTTAAATCGAAAAGGTTGTCTCTATATTGTTTGAGAAGCTCTCCTATTCCATAATTAAAGGTTAGCTCACAAGCGACATTAGAGTTTTGACGCTCCCTTAACTCCCTTATAAAAGCTTTGCATACACACTCGAACCCACACACAGTGCCTTACTAAGGGAGTCGATTCTGTCTAGAGGGAGCGCGATAACTGTTTTCTGAGCAAATCTTTTGTTAATGAATCATCTTTGAAACCTACTTTTTTATTTAAGGTTGCGTTTTTGTTTTTTCTCTCTGAGTCCAGGATTTATTTTAGTGAACTTTGTAATTTCAAAGATATGATTAATTTCATTAAAAAAAAAACAAATGTAATGTATTTGTCATAAAAATATGGGCACCAAATGCAAGAGAAAATGTTTTTAGAATTAATATTTTTTGGATTCACAAGGACGAGTAGGTAATTTTTTAAGCTGATTAAGTTAGAAGCACGGAACTCAAGGATGTTATCGAGTTTATATAAGTTCATAGCGTATAATTTTTTCAAAAACAAATATTGCGAAATTTCAATGATAAAATTTTAAAAGGACATTTTCAATACTTACCAGCTCCTATGTACCAAAAATTTCAATCTATAGAATTTCCTCTTTAATTTGATGCCCATACTTTTTCTCTAAGCACTTTTCACTGAATTTTTTAAATCATTTTTGGATTACTGACGTCAGAATGAAAAACTAAAAACGCAATTTTACTATATTTGGACTATGTTTTCGCGAATATATTGATATTTGTGTTTAAAATTTACTATCGCGCGTTGTTATATATATAATGAGCTAGACATTTGTAAAGAAATATTAATTATCAAATAAAAAAAGAAATATAATACTGAAGAAGCACTGCCAATCTGTTAGCTTAATGTTCGAAACGCTATTTGTTTTTGTATCTAAGTATATCTGTTTACTTTTTTCTTTTGATATAAATGACTTAAATGTTACACATTATATTCGTTTCGCATGATATTGTCATCCATTTTTGTATTTATACTCATATTCAATTTGTTATCAGCATTCGTATTCGTACTCGTATTCGTATTGTTATTTATATTCATACGAGTTTTCGCATTAAAAATATGGTAGTAGTGTCGCTTTTTACATCTACTCAAATTAGTGGCGCCACATTCGCACATACATATTGCTGGTACCAGACGCTTGCCATGCATTTCAATGCTAATATTTACAACTAAGCTGTTTCACATCCAAAAGTAATTTACATAAATAGTATCCACTACTAATAACTTAGTTTACAACAAAACATTTCCACCGTGTTTAAAAATTCCAACGTTGGCATCTTATTTTGAAAGAAACCATCATTTTTTATTATAGCCAACAAACAAATTTCAATAGCTGGGTGTTTCGCTTTTGACGTATGCAAAAACGCGTTCGTTTCTTAAGTCTTTTGTTTAGATATTGTTTTGCATGCACTGCCAAACGGCCTTTACTGCTGTCGCGACATATACATAGGCCAGATATTCAACTGGATTTTCTTGACAATTTACTACAAAACAAATAACAAGATGACACTAACGAAAACATAAGCAAAACAAAGATATCTGAGTAAACTTGTTTGCGAATTTTGCAACGGCATGCGCCAAGCATAGCAACCATAATATATCTAATAAATAAATCAACAAAAACCAAAAATTTTGTTACATTTCCAACAGCTTACTGTGAAAAAGCTGCAAACATATATATATATATATCGATGGTCCTCTGTAATAACGACACAATACAAACTTTAAATAATAGAATCTCATACTACTGTTAACTGGCCAATGTCTCTATTCCTTGTCTAATCCTTACTAAAGTAAGTAGTAAAGATTACTACAGTAAGTGGTAAGAATAATATAAAATTTATAAATACCAAACTAAATTATTTTCTTTCCTATTCTACGTAAAACTTTTTACTTATTTCCACTTCTCAGGCACTATTTATTGTTCCGCAACTATTTCACGATCTGGCATCACTAAAATTTTTATTAAAAGGGAACTTCTGCTTATGTATATAAATTTTGTTTCGTCGTTTATTTTATAAAAAAAAAACATATATTCGGGAAAATAACTACTGCTGTGTATTCAATGAGCTTAAGATTAGTGACATTTATGTATTTGTTGCACTTAAATTTGTTTAAATTTCTTTGATTTTATTCTTTTATTTGATGAATTTTTCAAATTTAACAACAAAACTATGAGTCGCTTCGATGTTCTGTCTTAAGTTTCGTGATGTGAACGACCTTCTCTAGCCTACCTGAAAAGTCGTTTTTTTTCTAAGTGTGGTGCACTCTCACCAAATTTTCCCTAAAACTTAATGTGCTATGTAACTGAATACTCAAAAATTTTCTCGAAAGTTAGATTAAAAATTTCAAAATTTTAGGAGGAATTTTTTTATCTATACATATAATAAAATTGTAAATGGCCGATGTCTGTACAATATAGATTTTAAAGAAAAATAAGTATGGCGGATCTTTATTAAAGCAACAGAAGCAAAATCAAAAATTTTTAGACTTTTTTTCTGTCTGTATGTTTGTACGGGCATCACTCGAAAACTAATACATTGAATTAAATGAAGCTTTCACCAATGCATTGCCAGAAGTCCAACTTAAAATATAGAAAGAAAAAAATTGGATGGTTGCCACCTGTTCGAAAATTGCAGTTTAATTATATTGATAAGATTAAAAAAAAAATTGTGCAATGTGTCTGTCGAAAGAAAGGGGGAACATGTTTTTTCTGAAGGCTGCCACCTGTTTAAATATTTGATTTTAATTTAGTCGATAATATCAATTGAATATTGCAATGTGGACACAACTGAAGACGTTTAAGAAAATTTACTTTCGACAATATTTTGCCACCTGTGCAGAGCTGGGCACTTTATGATTGCCTTAAGTTTTGATAACATAGGATTACGATTACTGTAATTGTAATCCTGACAATTTTCAGCATTACGATTATTTATTTTAATTAAAATTATAACATGCTTTATTGCGAATACTTTAATTGTAATCCTAAATATTTAACGATTTCGGCTACTGTAATCGTAGTCGGGCTTTTATATAATTACGATTACAGTAATCCTAAAACTTAAAAGATTACAATTACCGTAATTGTAATCATAAAAATAAGAATTCTGATAACAGCAGTCGTAGTTGTTAAATTTTTAGGATTACAATTAAAGTAATCGCAATCATGCAAATCAAGAAATTAGTTTTGCTTAGAGCAAATATGGGGTTTTATACACCAAAATGGTTTCATGTTATAAATTCGCTTATTTGTTTCGAATAATAGAATAGAATTTGTAATATTCTACACAGCCGCAGTACTTCCACAAAAGGTTGATTGTAATTAACTTCAACTTTAAATCAAATATACTTTTCGGTAAATTTTCCGCTCATTTACTTATAACTTAACCTCTTCACAATATCAATAAATCGCTGATAAACATCATCTTGTTTACAATAATTTTAATAATAAAATTTTTAGAATTATAATTAAAGTGTTCGTAATTCATGATTACAATTACTGTAATTATAGTCTTAAAATATTTAAGATTACATTACAGTATTCGTAATGATGTGTTAAGATTAAAGTAATCTTAGTCCTTAAATTAAAAAAAAAAAACAATTATTATAATCGCAAAGATTATGATTTCAATTAAAATAAGTCCAGCTTTTTTATAACATTTTGTCAGTATAACTTAGGCTAAAGTTGTCGTGATCGCCATGAAGGTAGTATAATAATAAATAAAAATTAACGGTCTTGATAAATATATTGAAAACCACATAGATTAAAATGTCGCTAGTGATTACTATGCTGGCAATAAGATCGATAAATGTACTGACAACAACGTTGGCAAATGTAAATAACTTAAAATATGTGTTGCTTAAATATAGATAATATTAACGATAACACATAACTGTAGTTTTTAGCAAGTTTCGCTTAAGTATATACTAGATATCTTCAATCAGGAAAAGCCACAAAATACAAAGAAAAAAAAAATGTCTAAATAAATATATCCATTTGTTAAGTTAAAAATCAAAATGATTTGCAATTTTTTTTGGAATCACAACAAATATTTTGAAAAAATTGTTTTCGCATTATCCGCTGAAATCAGACAAATTTTGCCCAACTTAATTGTTGATTTTATCAGTCTTTTGATTTCGTCTGAAAAATCACATAATCTCCAAAGCCAAATAGGCTTTACATAAATGCCAGGTAAATGCATATAACTGTTACAGCAGCAACCAGAAAACCGGTAATAGCAATCGCTGCTGCATGAAAATCGATAGTGAGAAAATAATATGTAGTTATTACAAAAGGTAAAGGGAAAAGTAGAAAAATCAGTCAAAAGCTTACAAAAAAACACAACAAATATGTATTTTACTAAGACCAAGACACATAAGCTGTGCATACATTTATTACACTCCTAATGTTAACCAGCTAATAAAAAACTCGATCCCAAAATCCATACAGAGTACTCACAATCGATTATCTTTCAGCCTGCCTCTACGTCTTCGTGGCACTCTATTTGCATTTGCATTGTATATGTGTATCTACATTTGTGCTTCCCATACAAAAATACAATTTGAAATGGTTAAGTGGCGGCAAACATTATACTTTTATTGTTTGTTTACACATGCACATGCAGTACATTGGTGATTTTATATGTGAATAGATATATATGTATCTAAGTTTGCATCTATGATATGAAACAAAACTCAACTGCCTTGACTGCCAGCATTTTTTTTTTGCCAATTGCTATAAAATATTTTCATACTTGCCTCTGCCACTATTGTCGCTAGGTATTGCTTTGCGTTTAAATGGTAATCCAATACTCTTCCTGAATTCCAAAGCCTTGAATCACATTATGGTTCATTACAGTTCACTTTATACATATGTACATATACATATGCATAAACCAAGATGCATACCTTCCATATGCTGTTCAGCTGTAATTTGCAACTACAACCAAAACTGCAACTGCATGGCTACAAGTCCAGCAAAACAATAACAACAACAAAATAATAATGTAAGAATAAAAAACGACGGACTTTTTCGATACCATTTACGTACCATAGTCAGCATCAGTGTGTAGGTCACTTTTGATTTCACTTTATTTCGTGTTCATTAATTGGCGCAACGTTGGACAGCTTTACGGATTGCAAGGCAGGGAGTGAACCAGCCCAGCACACATTCATACATACATATTTACATTGTTGTTAGTCAGCTAGTCAGGGCAGTCGGTCAAGCAAGTCAACGGCAGCATGTAAAGGTTACTTGTGGCAGTAGCCTTTTATTTTTTTTTTCTTTTCATTTTATAATTTTGCTTTGTATTTATGCGGGTCGCATATGTTGCATCCATAGCAAGAAACGTATGGTGAGTCGTGTGTACATTAGGGTGGTCCAGAAATGCCCTTGTAGATGTAAAATCGGAATATTTATGCTCTCACCCCCTGGGACTATTCTAAACAGGAAAAATCATACCCCTGTTTCTTTTTTTTTTGAAATAAAAAAGTATTTGGAGCTCGCTCAAAGCGCTGAAAGTTTTCTTTTTATTTTATATGATGAAAAAAGTTTTCGAAGAAATGGTGTAGAAATCTTGAAAATCTATATTTTCCGATCGGAAATCTTTGTCTTTTCAGGAGACTGCCAATAATAATATCCAATTGTTTACTATACATACAATTTTTTATCACTAGCAATTTTTTATAGGTTCCCTCATTGCATTTTTTTTTTTAAGGTTTTACGGGTCCTTTAAAAATAACTAATAATAGAAAATAGTTAAATAAATAATTGTTATTAGAGGAGAAACAACATTTTCAAGGCGAAAACTATTAATTTTCAAGAATTCTGTACAATTTCTACGAAAACTGTTTTTCCCCATATAAAATACATGGAAAAATTTGAGCGCTTTTATCGACCTATAAAAACTTTTTGATTTGAAAATAAAAAACGGGGTGTATTTTTTTCGGTATAGAGCATTCCTAGTGGTGAGAGTATTAAAATTCCGACCTTACTTTTTGTTATCACCCTAATGTACACACGTTTATTCTTATATGCATATGCATGTATTTTAAATTCAGCTTGGTTGTGTTAAATGAAATGTAGATTTATTAATGAGTTCGATCTCAACTGTACTAGTTTGTACCTAATAGATACATATGTATGTACATAAGTACATACATAAGTGCTCAACAGTCAAGCTTGTTGAATAGTTGCTGACCATCAATACAATACAATGGCATTACTGGTAAGGTAATCAGTCTTGTTTATAGCATATAAATATAATTTTTCCTTATCTTCTGGTTTGCTCATTTCTTATTTTGCATAAGTACTTCAACACGTCTGCTCATAGCTCCTCTCTTACATTATTTTTTGAGTTCGCCATAATCTTGGCTTATTTCAGGTAGCGCGCCAAATACATCTTCTCCCTGCAACATTTAAAGCAGGGACCATAACGGTTATGATCTTTATAATAGAAATAATAATTTAGCCGTTAAAATTTTAATTATTTTTTTCTGGTCAAATTTAACAGTTATTTTATGATTTTTATATTTTCGATCAAGAATAGCCGTTATTTTTTGTTCATATTTTTTTGCAAAATTTTTTATTATTGTTTACCAACATTGCCAAAAAATAAAAATGCACAAAAAAAATTATTTTTAATGGAAATACAAAATTAAGATTTATTACAAAAAATACAAAAAAATATTACAATTAATAAATTTGTCTTGATCTCAAAGTAAAAACCTTGATATTTTTCCGCTACATTCAGTCCTTTTGAATATACATTTGTGGATGACTAAAAAGATACTAGCCAATGTCAATATTTTAAAGGAAAGATAGAAAAACAAAACCTAAAGAAAGCTATCCACGGTTGCCACTATTTCAATATCCGAGTAAAATAGGCGCAAAATAAAATAAAACGTACCATTTTTTGTCTTCCATTAAAAATACATATATATATATATTTTTTATAATATTAAACGTTAAAAAAAAACTGCAATACTATCACTTCGTGTAAAAAAATAAATTTTTTTTACAAATGTTAGTATACAACTTATTCTAATATAATATTCACAATTATTTTCATGAACATTTTTTTCAATCATGGAAAAGTTCAGGACCATTACAGGAATGGTTCACGACTATTTCAGGATCGTTTCGGAAACTAGCTGATTTGAAGAAAAATTCGGGATCATTTTGAGACTAGTAAGGGATCGTTCGAAATGATTTCGCAACAATTCAGAATACTTTCAGAACCACTTCAGACTAATTTTCTTTTCGGAGTAGATCGAATCTAGTCAGGAAATGGTTTCGAAACTATTCCCGAAGGGGCTATGAAGAATTCCATATATCCACCGATGTCGTTATTTCTAATATTTACAAAAATAACATCAATATCAACAATGAAATATATAAAGCTGACAACATTTTTCAATTTAATTACTCACCATGAAGCTATCCAGTCAAGCGCTTCAAGTAAATTATCAAATATGTGCTCTTGTTAACAACTTTGCTTTCAAACATATCGCCACAATATCGCCAAATGCAAAAAGACGTAACAAACATCGTCGCTGAGATACAAAAAGTCGTAACTAATAAGAACTTCAAAATTATGTTTTTGATTGATATGATGGACTTCTTCGAATTACAACTCACACATCATTTTATGAAAAAAAAAATAAATAAATGGTAGTCACAACTTTTTCCATTTCAGTTACGATGTTGTTACATATTTTTGCATTTTAGGTAACGATATGTATATTAATGCTTAAAATAAACTTGACTACATACATACAGATGCTATGTATATATGTAAATGCGTACTTGCCTTAAAAGCCGGTATCTAATAAACTTTTGTGAATCCATATACACATGCATATACAGGGTGTTCCAGAAGTAACGTGCCAAACTTTAGGAGAAGGTAGGTGGGGGGGGGAAATGAGAGAAGATCGTTCGCAGTACCGGTACAAAATAAATTTATGGTGCGGTATTTTTAATTGTCAGATATTGGGACCTGTGGAACTGCAGCCAACGCTCAACTCTCACAGTTATTTAGAGTTCCTTCAGGAACGGCTTCCAACTCTTTTGGAAGATGTACCCTTAAACCTGCGGCAAAGACTATGGCTGCAAAATGACGGGTGCCCTGCTCACTACGGGAGTGAAGTAAGAGCTCATTTAGACGAAACTTATCCTCGACGATGGATTGGACGATACGGGCCAATCACGTGGCCCGCTCGATCGCCAGACCTGAATCCATTAGATTTTTTTCTACTGGGGCTGTCTTAAGGACAAAATTTATTCAAAAACAATTCAAAACGAAGAGCATTTTCGGGAACAAATAAATGGAGCTACTGCTGAGATAGCCCAATTGAGTTTAAGATTTCTAAAAGCGTCTTTTCTTAAAAGGTGCCGAGCTTGTATTAGAGTAGAAGGTCGCCAATTTGAGCATATTTTATCAATAAATGAATAAATTTTTCTTCAAACAACTCATGTATATCTTATTTCACGTGAACCCATCCTTCACACAAAATATTGATAGATATAGCCCTTGTTATAGACTCTAGTCCGAATTCCGGTAAGTAACATAAAATAATGTCTGAAGCAAGTATTTAATTATGTACCTTTGTTCTATTTAGCATGTCATTTGACGGTAACAAGAGCAAATTCAATTTAAATCTATTAAATACATTCTAGCGCGTCTCAGTCCTTTACCCACAAAAGCGGCTATAACTTTTTTTTTCTATTCAAAACAGTAAGTGTGGCACCTGAAATCGTTATTAAATGAGAAATTTTTTTATGTAATGTAAAGTTATAGCTCAGTACATTTTTTTTCACCCGACGATAGTCAAAGTTGGTGGAAGAAAATATCAAAAAGTTAAAAATCCAGAAATAGTCCTAATTTTATGATGGTTCCTTAATATATTTTAACTACATTGCATTTGAGTATGGAGAGGCAACTATCTGGAAGTACTTTACATAAAAAATTTACTAAGTATTGCCCGGTTTGTAGTTGCAGTTAAAAAAAACACATGAAAAGGCACGATTTTTTTTTTTAATTCGAAAAAATGTAAATATTTCAAAAACGGTGACAATTTTACTTAAAATTTTTTTGTTTATCAGGGAGCTCACCCCCCCACCTAAAGTTTGGCACGTTACTTCTGGGACACCCTGTATATATATACAAATACAATAAAATATATTTATGTATGTGGCTCAGTGACCATAGTGGCTGCGGTCGCCTCAAAGTGAACAACATTCTCAATTTATTAGCGAGCACGCAATAAATAACAAAGAAAATATAAAACACCATGCTGATCAACATTTCATTTATATATTACAATACATAAGCACACAATGAGTGCTATAAATTTTTGCTGTAACAACTGTATGTATGAAAATATTTTAATAATGCAAAAATTGCATCAGCGAGGGTGTGGTACAACGAGAAAAGGCAAATGCAAAAGCACGAATTGAATAGAATGGTGCAGTGGATTTGACTGGAAAAAATTTAATGGAGTTTGTGGCTCAACATTTATGTATATATACCAGCATTTTTTGATCGCCGAGATTTGAGTTGTTAGATAATGTTGTGCAAATAAAATTCCACTTAAATTCGCATAAGCATTGTTTCAATGCAAAGTGTGGTGCGGATAATTATGAACAATGACAATATTTGATTTTGCAGTGGATTTNGATTAATATCATCAGCAGTAATTCGAAAATATAAAAGTAATTGGGCCTTTTTAAACATTTAATTTAAAGGATATTGTTAAATCAAGTAAACCAATTAACTCATTAATTCGATAAAGAAATTCTCTTCAGTTCTCTTGTGTGTTTGCTAGGGCGCACAGTGCCTCCTAAGTGGGAAACAATCGAAAAAATTCGTTGTCTGCAATGTGAACGTGTTTGGTATTTTTTGTAGAGGTAATTTATCCACTAAGAAGAATTAAATAGAAATTTCCCTATAAAATGAATTATATGCCGCCATGAAGCCACTGAGGTCGACATAGCCACGCGTAAGATCTTCACGGAACTGGAAGTTATTTCAGACCTAATTTCAAGACGCTTGACATAACTTACAGAATATTTCAGCGAAAATCTCATGGAAGTTATGTCGTGATTTAACTTTCACATTAAATAGATCACCATAGAGAGTGAGCGCTATCAAGTGAGTCAGCGGAGCATATAATTTCCATGAGATGTTTGTGAAAATATTTTGGAAGTTATGTCAAGCGTCTTGAAATTAGGTCTGCAATAACTTTCAACGGCCCATAGAAGTTAAGTCTGAGGAAGTTAGGTCAGGTACCCAATTTTAAGAGTCGCTTGATATTGTGTAGATCGATGTGTTTTTGTTTTCGTCTTAATACTCGTCAAAAGTCA